ATGAATGAAAATAAACAATAAATATAATATATTCACTTTTTACTCTTCAGTGTTTTACGACTAATTATTCGTTGACTACTTTACTTTCTTTACTTGGGCTAAGCGACTAGCCACTAACTGATAACTACGACCACATTAAGTTAGGTTTGGTTGTCGCGGTCATCTATAAGACACACTTATGCCCAGGGCCCATTGTGATGCTTCATGTGAGGTCAGCAACTCCCAATCCCTCCTAAAATCATTTTGAACTTTGCAGAATTATTAGAAGATCTCTGATTTCCTCGCATCTATGGTCCTTCAAGATTTCGTTATAGTTACCAAATCATGCGCTGAGAGAAATACATATATTTTGTTGGTTTTTTTCTGAGTTTAGGTCAGTGTGTTTAGCGCTGAGCACCGGCCACAATTATTTGGCAGTTTTTAAGGTGATTTCGCCTTACTCGCCGCTCGCTACTTTAGCAAGCCTCACGGAGAAAAGTAGCTTACAAGTTTGTAAGAGTATTCCTATTTCGTCATTTATATCCTCACATATATTTGAGTCTTATGCCAAATCATGCCTGTTCGTCTTCCTTATAATTTCCCTCTGTTTGGCTGTGTCCCGGAACCCGTATCACCTTTGGGCGAAATAATTCAGGCATCTTGTTATCATATGCTCTGCACGTAATCCTGCTGGCTTTCTTGTTGCCCGTAACGCTGTTGCGCCCCGGAACCCAGTACTAGTGTACGTCCGTGCCAGTGGTAGAAGAACGGTGCCATTATCGCAGCCTACCTGTTAATATGAAAATTCTCTCTCTTGTTTATTCGGTTACTGCTCAATAGCTCTGTCGCACCGTCGAAAAAGTAGTCAATCCAACAGAAGTGCATACCTTCTGACATCACTACCATCCAAGATATAATACGATGAGCAGGGAAAGGCAAGAAATCTGTAGGACACAGCTGACCGGCGGGCGACTGCGCGTCGTATTCGCGTTTACATACACGACTTGTTCGCACGCACACAGTGACAACAATTGCACGTACACTAAAAATTATTTCCAGTTTTTAGTGGCCAAAAAAGGATGTGCAAATTATGAATGAGGAAACAAATTTTCCCAGTTTTTAGTGACGAAAAAATTATGTCCACTTTTAAAGGAACCAAAACTGTATTTCCATGTCTAGTAAATGAATGACGAAATAAATTTTTACCTGTTTTTAGTGGCCAAAAAATTATTCCAGTTGTAAATGAAGCAAAAATGTTTATGATAAAAAAATTATGTCCAGTTTTTAAACAACCAACTTTGTATGCCCAATTTTTAGGTGATACAATTTTTTCCAGTTTTAAGATTTAAACTAGTACGGGTTTAGTTTCTACTTTCAAGCATTAAATGAGACTATATACGAAAGAAAAATGAATGTATATCGTAAGTAAATATTTATATATAAACCGTTTGTTTTGGCACAAAATCTAATCAAGTTCTAAAAATTGCTACAAATGAGTCAAATCAATTATTAATTGAAAGCGTATAGTTAGTTTTGTCTAAAAATAAATAAAATATTAAAATAATCGATAAAACAAAAAAGCATGAGGTGATTGATTGTAAGCAAAGGTAGTTGTGATTATATCCTTTTTTTCTCAGGAATTTACTAACTATTTAAGTATGTATATTGCAAGTAGTTTATGTTTGTGACTGTTATTGTTTTTGAAAGTGTTTGTGCGCAACTACGCAACGAAAAAAAAATGACTGCGTCAATAGTAGTCTTGACGATAATGATATCAAACTGTGATACATTAGAATAAATATGACGATGATTAAGCTGGTCTTGATGGGTTTCTTGCCTTTTTGCCGTGACGTGTGTATGAGATGACTAACAGCGTTTTCGTTTTCCATTATTTTTGTGGTATAAAATTGACCCAATAAAATCAACAATGTACTTACCAATGGCTCATTGCTTTTCACCAGCTGCACAATTTTAATTGTTTCCTCATCTTCGTCCATTTCAATCGGTATTTCCGGCAGATGTGGATAGAAGTCCTTCTGCGCAATGGCATCGTGAGCATACAAAAGGCTCTATAGAAAGTCAAACAAACATTTGTATGTGGTTGCATACATATACATATCTACCTATATACATAAACTGCTTCAAAACTGTAAATAATTGCAAATTGTACCTGTAAATGCGATTCTTGCAACAAATGAAAGGCCTCTTTGCACTCCTCGCTCAAGTGGCAACGTTGTGATAGCTGCTCCAGCACTTCGTACAATATCTGCAGCAGCAAAAGCAATGAGGAAATTTAAATAAACATCAACACTTTTGCAAATAACTACACTCGTGGCCACGTATGGAAACCTTAACACCACTCTTTCTAAGAAATTTCGTATAATTTTGTAAAGGAATGAAATTTTTTTTTTTTATTATATGTATTCAAAACCGCAACAAAAAGTACATAAATAAAGGTTTGAAACTTTGCACAAAATTTAGAAAAATTCATCAAATTTTTACTAAAGTTCAAACTATTTAATAAAATTTTGTAGGGAAATTTCGGGTATGCAGTTAATTTTAGTACAAGAAAGTGTAAGTTTGAAGTAGATCAAATTTCTGGTTGATTTTTGAAATACATATATTTTTTCCATACGATGTTGAGCATTTTTTCCTTTACATGGAAAAAACTACACAAGACCGTCGGCAAAAAAAAAATTTGAAAATTCACCGAGAATTTTGAGCAACATATGCAAACATTATTATACTAAAATTAAATAGGCTCCTACCTGAAATTTTCCAAAAAATTTGTATTAAGAAGTTTGAATTTTTTTTTTTTTAATTTTTCTAAACTTTGTACAAAAATTAAAACTTAAATTTATATAGTTTTTGTTGCGGTTTGAACTACATTCAAACAAATTTTATTTTTTATAAATTTACAACATCCTACCAATCAAAAAAAAAGTGGTGGTAATGTTTGTGTAGCCACGAGTATACTTAAGGGTGGTCAAAAAATACATGCGGGAGCAAAAAAATTAAAATGCTAAGTTCTCACCCCCTAGGATTTTTGTAAATGGAAAAAAGTACACCGGTATTTTTTTGTTAAAAAATATGCATATTTAGAACTGCCTCAAAAAACAATTTTTCGTAGAAAATTCGGTTTCTCTTTCGATCAGGAAACTCGGTTTCTCTTTAGCAGACTTTCAATAACAATACCCAATTGTTTATTTAACAATTTTTTAATACCAAGATTTTTTATAGCACGCACTTAGGGACTCAGAAAAAGTCGCTTGTATTAAAAACTGGTAAACTGAACAATTGGGTTTTATTATTAGAAGTCTCCTGAAGAGAAACAGAGTTTCTCGATCGAAAAGTATTGATTTTAAATAATTCCATAGGTACCATTTCTAGTGTTTTTTCCTAATATAAAATACATGGAAAACTTCATGGACTTTGAGGTAGTTCTAATATATTTTTTTATCAAAACTATGTATTCTTTTACCCGTTAGAAAAACTTTTTTGGGCCACCCTAGTGTACATATACATATATACATGAGCCCATCTTCCCATGAATACATGCATTCGTATACATATCGCTCATTTACTTCAATAGTGTCATAATTCAAAAAATACAAATATTGAGCTATGTATTTAGACATCACCGCTACCTTTTCTTCTACCGCTTCATAGCTGTAGCTATTACCAGTATCTCACTAGAACAAAATAAGTACTAATTTTTACTATGGGTGTACATATATGTAAATTCAAAACCTTAAAACAGTTTTTTCGGGTTTCCCTTTTTTGAGTTACGACACTATTGAAGTAAATGAGCGATATGTAGTATATGTATGGATATGTCTGAACACCTGCATCAACTTACCTGTCCGGATGTGGAGAGCACCGGCGCCAGTCGATCGTCTCGACCCACCTTGGCCACTTTGGTGTGCACATTGACGAGCGCATTCAGTTCCTTCGATTCGAGTAGCGCTTTAAGGAAATCGATTTCCTGGTCATTGGAGAGATTTTCCGCCTCCTTTAGTGATGTAATGAGTTTCGAAAGCGCTACGTAGTTTCAGAAAAGAAAAAAAATAGAAAAATATTATTCAAATAGCAACATTTACACAGCAACACAGAGGATGTATAGAGTTGTTGCCAGCGGGGTGTGGGTCATTTCATAAATGAAGTGAATCAAGAATCAGCTTGACGCTTCGACACACAATAAGAATATGGGGTTCTTCATAGATACATACATGCATACATATAAGGAAAAGTCGTACATGTGATAAATGAATGACATTGGAAGGCGAGTAAAAAGGGAGACGCTAGATTAAGAATCAGTGGATTTTTTTTTAATGGTATGAACATTGTGCAAATGCAAAGATGTACAATTTTACTGACATTATTTTACATTGCAGGCCTTCAGAGCCAGAGAAGCCTAACTGAAATTCGAAAACGATTTAGATACTGCCTAAAAGGCATTACTATTTAGCATCGAAACGGTAACAGCCCGGAGCACACCTTTTAAGTTAGTAGGTACAATGAATAAATCAGTAAAATACTGTATTTATTATTTGTTCTCATATTACTACAACAAACTTTATTTTATATAGGCTTATCTTGCTTTCATGTCCTGGCATGATACCTAAGATTTCGTATACATATGTATTCATTTTCTATTTACCGGGATCCCAATTCGTATCGGTAGCCATAACTGCAGCTGTCATCCTCTCCGTTCAGCAATCGGGATTTACTGACATGCACCTAAAAGAAATTATAAATAAAAGAAAATCAGACTTTGATTGATAGAATATACACATAAGTAAGATTTGTTGTTCAGTTGTAGTAGTGAAAATATTACAATTCGCAAATCATAAGTATAATGGGTTAGTTTTGCCTTAATTTGGACGAGGGGATCGATTTTCGAGTGGCTAAAATAAAAATTGCAATATGAGGCCGATAGCAGAACTAACTACTTTATATATATCGTTTTCAAATGTGACAGAGTTTAAAATTAAAGTCCCCTTTTCCTTAATTTTAAGGTACCTTCATTTTGAAGACTTATCACCAGAGAACGGATTTTAAGGACCTAAAAACCTATAAAAAAGGCAAAATAAGATTAACGAAATAGGCAGCAAAAAAAGACAAAAACCGAACTTTAATCAGAAAACAAATTTAGTTTAGAAATGTTTATTTTACAAGTAAAAAGAGGTGAACTATGAACTAGTTTCTTTATATGAAAAATTTGTTCTTTGGATATTTGACTGTTTTATCCTTTTGAGTTTTTAACTCACAAAACCTTAGTCTCTATAGTTGTAGTAACCACAAGATGTATTCTGAAGTTTTCTGGCAGAATTTTCATTCGATTTTCGAGAAAATAAGCCTTGACTGTACATACTAATAGTGGCGGCGATTTTAAATAAGGAATATTTAAAACTTTTATATTATCAGGAATAACGGGTTTTCCTTGTCCTTGTCTTAAAAAAGGCAAAAAAAGGACACAACAAATAAGTATATATGGCATCAGGGAAAGCTAAATCGTGAATTGGATACAAAATCCATTTACGAAGCATTCATCGATCTTTCGAGTACTTCAACATTGAAACATACAGTTTTATCTGAGTCTCTGAACTAGTTTTGGGTTAGTGTTAGGAGTGAATACCGTGAATTCGCTTAAAAGGCTATCTTAACTTTGCTCTCTTCTGTCACAACGTATGGTTGTGAAACAGGCTTTTCAGCTTACACTTGTACAAAAAAGAAATACAGGTCGAAATTGGATGCTACCTCATAAGTGCGCATCCAGTTTTCCGTAATTAATAATAGTGAAAGAATTTCACATTAAAATTTAAAGTATGTGTACTATTTTAGTAAAAGTTTTTATTCATATTTAAATTGCACTGCGCTAGATTTTTAGTAATTTGATGTGGAGTCCCATAAAATGAAAGGTATTTGCTTTTTCTAAAAATTAATTTAAATTTATTTCAGCAAATCGATTAAAGGTCTGAAATGTTAAGAAAAAGCATTTGCTAAGGTTTTGTGCAGACGGCCCAATATGCGAGTACTTCTCAAAATTTGGGTAAGTATCAAAGTAGGATAATCTAGCGCCTTTAACACTTTGCACACGTAGAGATGCATCTACATTAAGGTGGTCCAAAAATTAAAAAAATAGGTCGGATTTTCAATGCTCTCACTCCTAGGATAGAAAAAAATATACCTTCGTTTTTTATTTCGAAATCAAAAAATAGATGTCGCTCATAGCGTTTAAAGTTTTCCTTGTATTTGATATGGGGGAAAAAACAAATTTTCGTGGAAATAGTATAGATTTCATTTAAATCAATATATTTCGATCGGATTGCTCCGTTTCTTTTTAGGAGACTTACAAATATAATACCCAATTTTATATATAATAATATTTTAATATTAACTATTTTTTATATACCCCCCAGACACCCCAAAAAATATGCAATTGCAATATGCATTTTCAATGATTGGATTTATTCTTAGGAATTCCGAAGATTTGGCTGAACCAATGACATTAAAATCGCTGTATGTTTCGTTGGTGCATAGTGTCCTAGAGTATTGTTGTATAATTTGGAACCCTTACTACCAAACTCATTCAAATAAATTAGGAAGAGTGCAAAGAACTTTCACTAAGTTTGCATTATCCAAACTTCATTGGCAAAATGGATGTCCCGATTATTTAGGTAGACGTAAACTGTTAAACCTACAGAGCTTATCTGATAGAAGAAGTTACTTTTCAGTAATGTTTATATACAATATCCTTAATGGTTTCGCAGACTATAGTGATAATTACGATTTGCTAAACCTCCATTATCCCAAAGGTGAATTGAGGCATGTTAAAATTTTTACAGTCGCTGCACATAAATCTAAGTATGCATTAAATGAGCCGATATCAAGATGCATTAAACTATACAACACTTATTCCGAAGTTACAAATTTTAATTTAAATGCATTAAACTTTAAGTTGAATTTATTTAAAATGTTTAACTAATCTAGTCGTTATCCGATCGAAAAATACTGATTTTCAAGAAGAAAAGAACAATCCACGGGGGAGAGAGCATTAAAATTCCTTTTTTTTTAACACCCTAATGCACATACACATTATATAAGTAAATGAAAAACTAAAACACAAACTTGATGCCAAAGAACTCTAAATAATTTCGTGATTCCTACTTCCTTGACCTTGAAAATTTTGTGACGTGGGATATGATTGCATGCCAGCCAGCACTAAAAATATCAACAACTTAAATAACTATGTAGTCGTTATCTAATGGAAATAGCCACATTAATCTTAGCTACAAAAGTGAATTCGATTCCTTAAAAATAAAACAACCATGAATAGCGACAAACTGCAGTAAATTACGTTTTCCTATAAATTTGATTACGACACTTTGGCGCGCCAAGTTTACATCGATTGTGGCCAAAATCGACTTTGCATGGATACATACTTACGTATACATCTACATATGTAATGCGTGTGTGTATTTACTTACATTTAGGCAAACATATGCGCATTCATGTACTTTTTCGACGCTCTGGCGCCTAAAATCACTGCATGAAAAATTATGCTATGTTCTGCGATTCCTCAATCCGATATACATATACCCATGCAGTGTGGGTGTACATATGTACATATGTAAATGCGTGCCATGTAGGAAAATTTATTAATATACTTTCGAATTAAGCACATCAATTTAATGGAAAGTTGCAATAGCAGGTAAACGGCGCCGACATCATCTTTTTAATTTTTAAAATTGACCATTTAATAAATTTTTCTATAAAGAAATTTTCTAAATGAATGTGCAACCGGCATAAAAAACTGAAAATCATGCCGAAATTTTTTGCATCGGGCTAGTTATTTGCGTTTTGATTTAGTCTGCGACTCCGCGATATTTTGAAATCTGATTCCAGTATTTGACAGCTGAATCCAAGGGGGTCGAATGCATTACGTCGTCCTTGTTCAGATCCAGAAACTAGTTCTACCAAATAACATTTTCCCTACAAAGCATGCGTACATGCCTAGGTAGATCTGCCAATATATGTATGTACAAGTATTTACCTCGAATGGCGGCAATCAGTGAGTGAAATGAAATGTAACTTTTTGATTGCCTTGCTTTGCACAAAATATTATAGGCGCATTTTATTTGCGGCAAAATCAATGACTGATTCTATTGATTGGAGTTTAGCGTGTTAACGTTGAAATGCACGTGTTTTTAATGAAGGGGTTGATAGAGAATTGTGACATTGGGCTGTCGAATTGACCGTGAAATAGTTGGTTATAATTAAAATATATTAAAATATATCTTATCACGACAGTATAGAAAGGAAATGTTGTTAAAGCAATACAAGTAAAATATTTAGGTGGCACCCTTTCAATGAGTTTGACAGCTTTCTGACTCTATGACGCAAATCGACTTTGGCATGCAATTCCTAGTAAGTATTCCAAACACCTAGGACTGGACCAAAAGGTTGCATTACTTTCGATCCCAGACGTATGCCAGAACTACTACATTCTGAGATATTTGCTATTCACGTGACGGCAAAGTCGGAAAGATCCCTCAAAACTCGCCATCGTTTTGGACTGTCAAGTTTCGAGCATTGGCTATATGGTCGGTAACGACTAACGAGATTTACGACCAAGAATGACAGTTTTTGACTCAATGGACTTTATTCGCCTAACTTTTAGCCAGAGAGCTATGTTATTTAAGCCTACCTGCAGTGAAGCCTAATTAGGATCGGTATCCATTGATAAAACAGCAGTTTCATAAGCAAAGGTGCCGGCGGTGATTCTTTCTGAAGTAGGGAGTTATATGTATAGAGTAAATATAGGATTGGGCTCACAACGCTTCCTTGGGGTACGCCTCAGTGTTGCCACACATGGGATTTTCCTACCAAAACCGGTAGGTTTATTTCCATTTGGTAGGTTGGTAGGCTAGATTGGATTTTGGTAGGTTTCACGACAAAACCAATTATTTGCGAAAAGTAGAAAATATGTATCTCCAAACACTTGAAAAGGGCTTGTCAATGAACTCATTGTCCCATTTACCAAAATAAGGATAGTGGACTTGACTATATCCACCTTGGCACGGACAGAAATTGAGTTCTCAGAAAAGGCGAAGTATCTAGGAATAACTCTGAACAAAAGGCACAGTTGGAACTCACATCTCTCGAATGTTACAACAAGGCTACAAGTGCGTTTTATGCCTTCCGAGACTTCACGATAAGACTTGGGGAATATCCCCAAAACTAACGTACTAATACGGTAGTAACGTTCAGTACGGTAGTTAAGCCCGTTGCTACATATGCGGCACTGGCCTAGTGGCCAAAAGCTAAGGAAGTAAACGCTTGTGCCACATTGAGCAACTGCACCGACTGGTCCGCGTCGCCATAGCAGGAGCTATGCGCACCTTGGTGTCATTACAGGCATGCCTCCTTTGTTTGCTCGAGTGCCCTATGGCTGCCCATTAGCATGAAAAGTAGAGATCTTGGGGTCATTTGGAGGTTCTCAAGACATTTCTGGATGATCCCGATGATGTGTTTTTGAAATTCATCGAATTGTTGATATGTATCAAATTATTGCAATTTAATCGATAAACTGGAATCGGGTCCATTACAAGTCCTGCAGAAGTCCTCAAAAGACCTTAAAAGTTATAAAAAATTTTTATGTATGTAATGCATTTCATTTTTATGGCCTGCTGGTTAACTAAATAATTAAATAAGAGTGAATTTTGATTAGATAATTC